GCAGCCCTCCCTGTGCCACCATCCTACCAGCTTCTCTTGCCAGACATGAAAGCACACGCCTACTCTTCTCCCGTGTCTCCAGAGTAACCATTTAAAAAAAAAAAAAAAAAAAGCCCTGCAATTAACTGGAGCTATATCTAGCTCAGCAGAAATCGTTTCCTTGTCCTGGATTCCAGACAGTCCTGGTGTGTGCATGCACAATATCCGCACGCTGCACTGTGGAAACAGCCTCATGCAGTGTGCGGATGCTGGGGAAAGACTGGCCCTGGTGGCTGATGTCTTGGGTCCCTTCTGAAAGAACAGGGTGACTTTCGCGGTAGTGCCCTGTCCATTCATTGCACTTTAAATTTCACCTGGAAGCACTACCTCTCTGGCTGGCTGCTTTCCCAGACACAGGCCTCCTCTGACGCTTCCCACGAGGATGCTGTCTTGGTCGGTATCCTGGGTGTCTCTTTAACGCTTGTCTTCTGGCTCGCCTTTCTTATTTCATTGAATGTTAATCGTGCTTCCATGGGTTCAGCTTTGGCTTCATGGCCAAATAACATAACGCCCATACTGGGTCAGACCAACGGTCTATCCAGCCCAGTATCCTGTCTGCCAACAGTGACCAATACCAGATGCTCCAGAGGGAGGGAACACAACAGATAATCCTCATGTGATCTCTCCCCTGTTTACCCCCATCCCAGAGAAACAGAGGCCAGGGACACCATTCCTACCCATCCTGGCTAATAGCCATTGATTGGACCTAACCTCCATGAATCTATATAGCTCTTTTTTTGAACCTGTTAAAGTCCTACCCTTTACCACATCCTCTGGCAAGGAGTTCCACAGGTTGATTGTGCACTGAGTGAAGAAAAAACCCCTCCATGTACAAGAGCATCTGTCTTTGAGTAGTTTTATTAGTTACCAATAAAGTGATAAATGGCACAGTGTGTACAATTCCTCAGGATCAGTACCATATGCCAGTTATACCTATGGACATCCTCCCTCTTAGATGGTGATAAGACTCTGTTGGTCT